CCATATCCTGCAATCCCAAAGCACTTTGTTTCCTACCTGGGGACTGAGGGGTGAGAGGCACAAAAAGCTTTTCCCTGGGATTTTGGTCCATGAGTACTTTCTGAAGCAGCAGGACTGCAGGTTTTGGCCTTGCACTGTGGCTGTTTCATGTTTTGCTGCTGGATGAGCTGCAAGTCCTGACTGTGTGACTGCAGGGCAGGATTCCTCCTTTCTCTCCCAACCAGGGCACCTCCTCTCTGGGGCTCTTGTTGGGTAAGTACTTCAGTGCAGCTACCCAAACCTGTTGTGCATGGTAGGAATGAAGCTTGTATTGCAGATGAAGAGGCAAGAAAGGCAGGGATCAGATCCAGCTTATATCTGTAGTAAGACACCGTGTATGATGGTGATTTATCTAGTATGATTTATTCACCTTGAATACTGAAAATACACCTGTGGACTCTTCTTCACCAGAGACCAAAATGCACGATAAGATATGAGAGCCCAAATTACGCAATAAATGTAAAATAATGGTCCAAGTAGGTTTTTATAATCCAGTTGTTTCAGTCCCTGGATCGATTGTTGTGTTCCCTAGAAATTTCCTCCTTCCTGATACAAATTGTTCTCCCCAGCCCTGGGTTTTGTCACCATGGTAGATGTGAATGCTCCTTTTTTCCCCAGCCAGTTCCCTGCAAATCCCTGCTTATAGGGCAGGAGGAGAGCGAGGTTTTTGTCCTTCCCAGCACCCTTCACACAGGCTGTGTTCATCCTGCCAGGCACGAGTGTGCCACAGGTTTGTGCTGCTCTGCTGCGCTCACGCTTTCCCCCTCTCACAGGTGGCTTTGGCTCGTGGCTGTTTGGCTCCTGGCAGCCCAGGGGGTGCCAGCCCAGCAGAGCCCCCGGCCCAGGGCACAGTCGGGCTCATCCACTCACTCTCTGCCTGCCCCATGCACAGGGACATTTGTGACACAGCTCAGGCAGGAGCTCGTGGCACTGTTAATAGAGCATGGCTGTCTCATTTGTGGGCTCTATTCATCTGACAGCTGAGAATTATCAGTACTGATGCTTCACTCCCTCTTTTTCTCCAAGGTAGTGATTTGTCTATGTTATGGGTAGGTAAGCTTGACAAAACATTGCACATTAGCAGCCGAGACAGTGTTTGAAATGGGAAAATTGCTGGCAAACTGCTCCGTTAGAGACCCAAATAACAAATTCTTTCTTTCCCTCAATGAAGGGGAGATAGTTAAGGCCCAAATTAATACGTCTATCTCCCCAACTCTGCAGGGGGAATCACTCTTCAAGACGAATGGCTTCATCACTCCTGAGTGTGAGCTGGCTCTGCTAAGTCCCTGTTAGGCAGAGTTTTTTATCCTTTGTGTTTTGCCGTCCTGGGCATGAGCAATACAGGCGCCACAGGAGGAGGTGATGAAAAGATTTGCACCTCAGTGAACTTTGAGATGGATTAGCATGGGAATTTGAGTGCTTATTCTTTACCCTGGGATAGTTTTTCATCTTTAACTGCATGGTTTCCCCTTGTTTGTTTTGTTCTGGTTTTTCTCTGATATGTTTACTTTTTGTTCTCATTGCTGCAAAGTCATTTAAAAAAAAGTGGGAAGAAGGAAGACTTTATCCTGTCTAGCATCATGTTATTACAAGAAAAAATGGATCTGAATCCAGTGGGCCCTCATACTTTCCGATCTCTGATGATATATTAGAGAAGAGAAAGGAAATTGTTCCTGTCCTTTGATGTTGTTGTCAAAGCCTTTAAAATAAAGTGGGAGAGGCAGACAGAGCATTGCTGTGTGTGGGGAGGGGGAGATGTGTTGCTGTTCATCTCAGCACTCAGCTGGCAGCAGGGGACAAGGCATGGCCACAAGGGGAGCAAAGCAGGAGCAAAAACCACTGGGAGTTTGAACACGGCCAATTCACTTTATCAGTTCTGTGAATTCCGCTTGGTGAGGCTCTTAAATAGATCTGAGTATAAAATACCACAGGAGAATCAAGAAAAATGTTATTGAGTTGTAAGAAACCTTTAATGGGAGAGGGGGTAGTAGTTTAAATTATCAAAGTTTAGCCCTTTAGGACTTTGTGTCTTG